CACCGCAGGGTAATTCTAACCCTACTATTAGATGTTTTCGTTGTGGTGAACAAGGGCATAGGGCGACTGATTGCAGGAAGCCTGCTAGTCAAAAGGGCAAAAATTTGTTGATTGAGGAAAACGTGGAAGACGAGACTGGGAGATTGGCGAACCGTGTATGACGATGATGAGACTGATGATGTGCTGTATGGAGATGGTCATGAGACTCTGGTCGTTCGCAAGAGTCTACTTACCCCCAAGGGCGATTCAGGGGACGATTGGTTGAGAACCAATATTTTCCACACGACTTGCACAGTGCAGATAAAGTCTGCAAATGATCATTGACAGCGGCAGTTGTGAGAATGTAGTGTCCGAGGAGGTTGTCCAGAAATTGCAGTTGAAGACGGACCGTCATCCTAAGCCATACAAGTTGTCATGGCTAAATAAAGACAGTGAGGTAACAGTTGATAGGCGATGCCTCGTGTCTTTTTTCAATTGGTAGAAAATATTTTGATAATGCCTGGTGTGATGTTGTGTCTATGGATGCGTGTCATATATTGTTGGGTCGACCTTGGCAGTATGATCGCAGTGTCATTCATGATGGACGGAAGAATACATATTCCCTTAGCATCAAGGGAAAAAAGATTGTGTTGGCACCCCGGCGGGAAGGACTTACTCCTACCCCAGTAACCCATAATACTAATTGCTTTCTATGTCCAAGTTTTTAGATGAGATTGAGCATGGCGGCGTGGTCTATGCCTTGCTACCTTGCGAGAACAATGCAGTAGACGTGGATACAGATTTACCAGTAGAGGTGCAGCGGCTGCTAGCAGAATTCTCTAACTTGATGCCAGAGGATCTTCCTCCTGGACTACCACCTATGAGGGATATTCAGCATCAAATTGACCTTGTTCCTGGGTCAAGTTTGCCAAATCGACCAGCATATCGCCTCAGTCCCAAGGAGGCCGAAGAGTTGCAGCGACAGTGGAAGAGTTGTTGGAGAGGGGCTATATCCGAGAGAGTATGAGCCCATGTGCAGTCCCTGCTCTGTTAGTGCCAAAGAAAGATGGTTCTTGGCGTATGTGTTGACAGCCGAGCGATCAACAGAATTACAGTGAAGTACCGGTTTCCAATTCCCGTCTAGATGATATGTTGGATCAGCTATCTGGTTCTAAGGTCTTCTCAAAAATTGACCTTAAGAGCGGTTACCACCAAATCAGAATAAGGCCTGGAGATGAGTGGAAGACGGCGTTTAAAACGCCACAAGGGTGTATGAGTGGATGGTCATGCCTTTTGGGTTATCCAATGCGCCCAGTACATTCATGAGATTTATGCATCAGGTCTTGCGGCCTTTTATGGGGAAATTTGTTGTAGTTTACTTCGATGATATCCTCGTTTATAGTCCGTCATGGACTTCACACTTCGATCACCTCCGTGCTGTTTTGAGATGCTGAAAACGGAGTGCTTGTTTGTCAATCAAAAGAAGTGTTCTTTCTTCACTACTTCTGTGACTTTCTTGGTTTTGTTGTGTCTACTGATGGTGTTCATGCAGATCAGTCAAAGATAGATGCAGTCTTGGAGTGGCCCAGACCAAGAACCTTACATGACATCCGAAGTTTCCATGGCTTGGCGTGTTTTTACCGTCGATTCATTAGAAATTTCAGTACTCTGATCGCCCCTATCACAGAGTGCCTCAAGGGGCGTGATTTCCAGTGGTCTGAGGAGGCAGAGGCCAGTTTTCAACTGGTCAAGCAGAAGATGACCGAGGCTCCAGTTTTGGCACTTCCAGATTTTGACAAAGTGTTCGAGGTAAATTGTGATGCATCTGGCGTTGGCATTGGTGGTGTTCTGAGTCAGGCAGGTCGTCGGTTGCTTTTTTCAGTGAAAAGCTATCGGGATCAAAGAAAAATTATTCCACTTATGATCTGGAGTTTTATGCCATAGTTCAGTCCCTGAAGCATTGGCGTCACTACCTAGTACAGAAGGAGTTATTCTGTTTACCGATCATGAGGCCTTGAAGTACATCAATGGCCAACACAAGCTGAGTAGACGTCATGCCAAGTGGGTAGCATACTTGCAAGAATTCACTTTTACGCTGAGGCACCAAGCAGGGAGTTTGAACCGCGTCGCAGATGCCCTGAGCCGTCGTACCTTACTTCTCACCACCATGAGTACTAAAGTTGCAGGATTTGAGACGTTCACAGATATGTATGCAGCTGATCCTTCCTTTGGAAGGATATTTCAGGAGGTAACTGAGGGTCACCGTCATGATTTTGTTTTGCATAATGGGTATCTGTTTCGTGGATTACAATTGTGCATTCCAGATTGTTCATTGAGGCAGCAAATTATAAGTGAACTCCATAATGAGGGACACTTTGGCCGAGATAAGACATTGGCCCTTATCTCTTCTGAATTTTATTGGCCCAAGTTGACTAGTGATGTGGCCCATTATGTGGACCGTTGTTTAGTGTGCCAGCGGTCTAAGGGAGTTCTCACCAATGCGGGATTGTACACTCCCTTACCTGTTCCTGAAGCTCCTTGGTTCGATGTCAGCATGGATTTTGTACTAGGCTTACCCGCACCAAAGGGCCTCTGATTCTATCTTTGTTGTGGTTGACAGGTTTTCCAAGATGGCTCATTTTGTAGCTTGCAGAAAGACTATGGATGCTGACCGGATTGCCCATCTCTATTTCAAGGAGATTGTGCGTTTACATGGTGTTCCTCGATCCATCACTTCAGATCGTGATACTAAGTTCATCAGTCATTTCTGGAAGAGCCTGTGGGGGAAACTAGGAACGCAGTTGAATTTCAGTAGCGCCTACCACCCCAGACGGATGGCCAGACTGAGGTGGTGAACCGAAGTTTGGGAAACCTTTTAAGGTGTTTGGCAGGAACGAAGCCGAAGCAGTGGGATTTGGCATTGCCTCAGGCAGAATTTGCCTACAACAGATCAAAAAACAGAACCACGGGTTTAAGCCCATTTGAGATTGTCTATGGTCAGAACCCATCCGGGGTGTTGGACTTAGCCCCTATACCACGTATAGGACGTTTCAGTCCTAAAGCAGATGAGATGGCAAAGTATCTTCGGGGTATCCATGAGCAGGTGAAACAGACCATTCATGAGAGCAATACCAAGTACAAGACTCGGGTCGACAATCATCGTCGTCAGGTACTTTTGATGTTGGTGATTTTGTTTGGGCTGTATTAACTCGTGATCGTTTTCCTGTTGGTGAGTATAATAAGCTTAAGGATCGGAAGATTGGACCTTGTGAGGTCGTGCAGAAGATCAATGATAATGCTTACAGGTGCGACTTCCCAGTCACTTGAAGACTTCTGATGTCTTTAATGTGAAGCACCTGAGTCATTGTTTTGTGGATCCTGATGATACTACTCTGAATCGAGGACGAGTTCTTTCCAACCCGGGGTGACTGATGCAGGGGGATCCGAGACAGATGATGCTGAGCTGTCAGATTGCACGTTGATGGCGCTGAGATACCATGAGTTGGCAGATCAGCGCAAAGGCGGGAATTGATTGTGACATGTTCCTCATTGGGGTCGTTTTGAGTATGTTTCAGTCTTTTGGCCATAACTTTGGCTACAGGTGTCAGAATCGCGCATAAGACCCCAATCCGGAAAGCTCTTTTCGACGCGCACGCTCTCCACGAGCTACGCTCCATGTGGCCTTTTTTTCAACCTCAAATTCTGCCGTTTTCCCCCTCTGAATCACTAGATTTAGTTATTTTTTACTATTTATGGTAATATTTCGATTGTTAATTAGGAAGTCAATTTAAATCCGATTTAGGCCGGATTTTTGGGAGATTGCTTATTTTATTTCGAATTTCAATTTAGAGTGATTTTCGGGATTTTGCTATTTTTGGCAAAATTCGAATAAAGACGATTTTTTTGCTATAACAGTCCGGCTTGTGGACTGCTTTTTGACAGTTTTGATTTTATAATATTTTATTAAACCCTAGAGACTTTTTCTCTAGTTTTTGGGCGAATTTTCTCTTGTGAATCGTCTGTCGGAGCTAGCCTACAGGATAATCACTATTCTGTCTGGCGTCAGTTATCCCATCTACTCTGGGTAACTTGTCAAAGCTAGAAACGTTGTGCTTTCAGTACAACAATCTCAAAGGTAAGATTCCTATAACAATTGAAAATCTTTCAAACTTGATATGCTTATATTTGAAAGACAATTAGCTTTCAGATTTCATATATTTCTCCATCTTGACTAGATTTTCATTAGTAAAAAAGTCGACTTTACAACCAACAATTGAGGTAAAGTATAATTAATTATAGAAAATGAGAGACAAAATTAAAACAAATTATAATTAAAAGATCTAATTTGATATTTATCCATATATTTTTTAATAACATAAATGTGTGGGGCAATGCCCGGATACTAAGCATAACTTCGTCCTTGTCTTCTACATTTATTATATTTTATCACAGTTTAAGCCTCTTCTTTTCATTATGACAAAAAACGAAAGTTTGGTTATTTATTGCGTAGGTTCTCTCTCTTCCAATATGTTCGATTATCTTTCTCAATTATCTTATCTTGATTTGAGAGAATGCCAACTTTCTGGAAGAATTCCAATGAGTTCATTCAAATGCAAGAAGTTAGAATCTCTCTCTCTCTATATATATATATATATTTGGGTATAAACATTTACAAGGGACTATACCTTTAGAAATCGCAAATTTGACTTCACTCAAGCATTTTGGCATCGCACTAAACTTCTTCTCGGGTAAGTTAACATTACTTTTCATGCTTCAATAATGTATTATTTCTTCTGTCCAAATAAAATTGTCATTTATTAACTTTTTAAAAGTCACATTTTGTTTAAACTTTGACTATAATTATGGTGAAGTGGATAGCTTAGGAGTTACAGTTTCCTTCACACATTCGCGTCTAACTGATCTTTCTAATAATAACTTAAGTGGCTTCTTACCTGTGATTTTTTTTTGAAAATTTGCATGACATTAGAGGGGGGAATGAAAAGAAGGATAAACCAGTATACATGACATATGCATCAGTTTATGGACTGGTGTATTATGCGCAAGATATATCTTTTGCTGCAAAGGGGTTCGAAGCACAGTTTGAGTACCTATTAACCATCTGGATGGCAGTAGACTTCTCCAGCAACCAATTCATGGGAAAAATTCCTAAAACAATTGGAGAGCTGCATTCACTAATTGTCCTAAACCTCTCTCATAACTGTTTAACAGGTCCTATCCCATCATCATTTGGTGATTTGTCAGAACTTGAATCATTAGATCTCTCATCAAACAAGCTCACTGGAAGAATTCCAATAAACAATCTTGGGTTCTTAGCAGTGTTGAACCTTTCTCGGAATAATCTCGTGGGAGTCATTCCTCATGGCAAACAATTTGATACTATCACAAATGATTCCTACATAGGAAACTTGGGTTTATGCGGGCTACCATTATCAAAAAGCTGTGATAATGATGAGGGAAGTCCAGCCAAACTTGATAGAGCTGATGATGATGGTGGATTGAATTGGAAATTTTCAATATTAATGGGGTATGGATGTGGGTTGGTGCTGGGACTGAGTATGGGATACGTCGTATTCACAACTGGAAAACCATGGTGGTTCATTAGTATCTACGAGAGAGTTCAACAAAGATTTGCAAAAAATGTAAAAGAGAGAACTCTTTGACAAATTTTTGCAGCAAAACAAGCACCGGACAGAGCAGAAAACTTCATATCATGGTGGTAGGCACACTAGGCAGTCCCTTTTCAATAGCTGTTTCTTATATAATTTGTTTTCAATAATCTCCAGATAATTAATCCCATAACTATAATTATGGTTTATGTCTTGACTCTCTCCTGTTGTCTTGCAATTTAATCCCATAACTATAATTATGTTTTATGTCTTGACTCTCGCCTATATTAGGAGTGAAAGTGTCCGGAGGAAAATCATGTCCGCAAATGGGAAGGAAGAGACAAATTCGAGATGAATTAATTAAAATTCCAACACTTCTTGATTGATATTTAAGGCCTTTCTTCTTGTAGTATTTCGTATTTATGATTTTTCATGCAGAAGTTTCTCCAACAACAGGTGCCAATGGGGTGGCTAGCTTTGGAATTATAGAGATGATGGGTTTAAAGAAGTCATCAAAACTTGTCAAAGAACAATTTTTCTGCACTTTGTGGTGAGAGACGGAAGAAAATAAAGGTCGGTTTTGTACTATCTGCATGTAAATGATCAATATGTATCGCATCCCTTTAACTTATTTCATTTTGCTCTTGAATTGTGAATGGAAAACTCTGACTATGATATGTTATCCTATTGTCTCGGATACTATTTCCTTACGAAGAATTCGTAAATTTCTTCCGGTGTGAAGTCTTTCACTTATCATGTTAATGCACTATATGCATGATTATGCATCTTACGTCAAAGATTTCGGCTGGGTTGAATAGAATTCCGGTCTTTGTTTATTTGGTTCAAGTAGTACAATGGATTAACATTCGGTCAAATGAATTGTAAAATTCTTAAAAAGTATGCTTTAATCTGAATTATCATTACTTCCTCTCCCTTCCTTCCTCCTCTTATGTTTCTGCTTCTATTTGCAACTTTTAAGGCTACTTTGTCTGCCAACATCACCACTGATGACTCCTCCCTTTTGGCCTTAAAATCTCATAAAACTCATGATCCCGACAATCTCTTAGCAACCAACTGGTCCACTTCTATCTCTGTTTGCAATTGGATTGGTGTGACTTGTGGATCCAGACACCACAGAATCACTGCTCTGGATTTGTCGAGTATGGATCTCCCAGGCACCATCCCATCTCAATTGGGAAATTTATCTTTCCTTGCCTCCCTCAACATTCGTAGAAACAGTTTCCATGGCTCTTTAACAATTGAGTTAACCAATTTGTATCGGCTGAAGTATTTCAACTTTGGTAACAATAGCTTCAGTGGAGAAATCCCATCATGGATTGGTTGCTTTGCTCAACTTCAAGGCTTGTAGATGAACAACTTCACTGGTTTTATTCCATCTACTTTGGGTAATTTGTAAAACGTCCATAGTTGAACTTGTTCGAAAACAATCTTAAAGGTAAGATTCCTATAATGATTGAAAATCATTTAAACTTGATATGCTTATATTTGGAAGAAATTAGCTTCCATGTTTCATAAATTTTTCATTAGTAAAAAAAAATTCGATTTTACTGAAAATACTAATTTTTTACCCATATTGATTTATTTATTATTATTATTGTAATTATTATTATTAATAATTATAATTATTATAAATATTATTATTATTATTATTATTATTATTATTAAATATATTAAATATATATATAAATAATAAAAAATTACAAGCCCAACTTTCCGGCCCAAACCAAACTGAAACCCTAAACATTTAGGGTTTCAGCTAGGGTTTCTAACCCTAGCTTCCAGCCGCCTCAGCCAACGGTCCAGCTTCCAGCCGCCTCTGCTGCTAGTGCCACGCCTCCATCAAAGCCTCCAGAAGACCCAGATGGTCACCCACGTTGCTACTCTAGCAGTGAGTCACCACATAGTTCGGTGACTCACCGAAATCCGCTCTTCGGACCGGTCCGATGGCCACACCGGTGATGGCTATAAAGCCATCACCCCATCTGCGAGCAAAAACAGAGAACAACAGAGAGAGACGGAGAACAACAGAGACCGAGAGAGATACAAAGAAACAAGATACTAAAAAAACTACCAACGATCTCAACAACAACGCAGCAAAGAAACAGAAAAGAAAGAAAAGAAAAAGAAAGAAGAGAAACTTACCGAGGAAGTCTCGACCACCAGACGTCACCAAAACCTTCGGAAACCGAAGGTACCTCTTTAGATTCGCTCCGATCAGGAGCCATTTAGAAGAAAAGAACACCGGAACCGCCCTTAGGACGGTCCGATCTATTTAATGGTGTAAAAATAAAATTTTCCGGCCACCGGATGCGGTGGCTGGCGGTGACGGTCACGGCGGCAGACGGTTGCCGTTCGGTGACCGGCTTCCCTCCGATGAGGGAAGCTAGAGAGGAAACAGAGAGAAATTTGTTCTCTCTCTGTTAGAGAGAGAACAGAAAGAAGGAAATAAGAAGCTGGCCCATAGGGCCAGCCGGTTTAGGGTATTAATACCCTCTCCCAAACGACGTCGTTTCGGGGAGGGTATTTCTGTAATTTCATAAAGGGTAAACCCCGTCCGAAGCCATTCCAACTTGTAATTTTTACATTTTAGTCACTAAATCGAGTTTATAATCCTTTTAATTTGATCTTTAAATTTTAGTTTTTTTATTTTAGTCATTTATAAATAATATATTTAGGATAAATAACAGTTTTAATCCCTTAATTTTAATAAATAATATTTTAATCCTTAGTTTATGTTTAATTTATTTTATTCTAATATCCGAATTTTAGATAATTTTATTTAGTCACTAAATAAATAAAATAAAGAAATAGCATGTTTAATCCCTATAATTTTGATTAATTATGAATTAGGTTTTAATTTTACTTTTACTATAATTTAGTCATTTATTTTAAATGTTTTCATTTATTTTACTACTTTTAAATATATCGTTCTAGTTGTATTTTTATTGTTTTAATTTTACTTGTTTATATTTTAAATATTTTATTATTATGTATTCATAAATATATATAATAAATAATAATTTATTTTTTAATAAATTATTTTAATATTTATTTTTCAATATCGAAGAAAAGGATAGTCTTAATACAACTGGATGTCCTATTCTGGTATTTTAAAATTAAAAAATATAAAAAAAATATTATTTAATTTTATTTAAATTAATATTATCAATATCAAAGAAAGAGCTGTCTTAAGGCATCTAGAAGTCATTTTCTGATATTTTTAAATATTTTTATATAATTTTGAAATAATAGGATTATAAATTAAATATATTTGAATTTTTAAAATTTTTAATAATAGAGACAATTTATAATTTAAAAGTACCAATTTTGGGCGTTGTAGGGGTGCTAATCCTTCCCTAAACGTAATCGACCACGAATCCCTTTTTATTATTAAAAAGAACGATTTTTTGGTTATAAACGCAGATCAGTTCATTTTTTATTTGATGTTTTCTTAAAACTCTTTTAAAAAATAATTTTTAGGTATTCGACCTACCTGACCCAAAAGGCCGATGGCGACTCCCAAATTATTTTTAAAACCATTTATTCACATCAATTTTCCAGCCAAGTATAATATTTCGTGCCCGGACGAAAACCGGTTACGACAGCTTGGCGACTCCACTGGGGAACGATCAAACTTTAAAATCAATTATAAATTGTCTCTATTAATTAAAAATTAAAAGTTCATATATTTAATTTTTAATTCTTTCTTTTCAAAATTTTTATATTTACTTATTATTTTCATAATATTTATATGTTTCATTTTACTTGTAAGTATTTTATTTCTTTATTTATTTTTCTGTCAAAGGTTTGAACATTTCTCCTCACACACAACACTTGCATTGCATAACATAAAGCTCTATAATTGAGTTTGTCCCTTTTAAGTGGGAGTGAAAGCGACGTCTTTGTGAGAATTTATTCTCCGTGTCAGACCTAGCAAGTAACTTTCGGGGTTCATATACTCTATGTTTTCGTGAGAATTTATTCTCCGTGTCAGGCATAGAGAAATGTATCCCCTCGAATTGAACTCGATCCATTTTAGTCTGTGATGGACTAGGATTGAGGGTTAGCAACCCAAGGGGGCACTAACAAGGACAATTCGGGTACCTTTATTCCTAGATCTGAAACCCTGCATATAAAAAAACCTAGAAACTCTTCCAATCTGAAGTCATGCCGAAATTGTGTCCAAAATAGGTGTACACACAGGAGAAATGAATTCTAACTTTCCTGTTAATTTATTTATTTCCTTTACTAATTAAATTACATGTATATTTAAATTATTTAAATTTAGAAAAAGCATGTTTAAATAAAAATATTTAGGTAAATGTTAATATTAAATTTCTTTATTATGTAAACTAATTCATTTCTTTTTGTGTGTTCTTTATTTTTCTGTTTGCATAGCATCATACAGGATAAAAGGCATTGATCCTTGTGTTAATTGTCTCATTGGAAAGCCTTCATCCATGGATAAAAAGTGTTCAAATCAAGTAATTCTAAACTCAGAAGTAAGACAGTGGGCTGAGGATTTACAAAGACAAGAAGGAGACAGTCTGCAGGATGATTATGTATCTGACTTGGCCAGTTATGTTTCAGTTTCGCTAAAAAGAAATGATATGCAAGATTTGCGAAGTATTTGGGAAAGTTGGGATTCAAACAAAAAATTGCAGTTTTATCAGACTTACGGAGACATCCCATATTTGCTCTATGTTGAAGTTGATGATGAATTACTCAGAGCCCTAATTTAATTCTGGAATCCAGGGTACAATTGCTTCACTCTCAATAAAGAAGACTTGGTCCCTACTATTGAAGAGTACACAACTTTGCTACATATCGAAGGGGCTTTGGAGAATCGAATCTATTCAAAGTCAATTAAAACTCAACCCTTTCGAGTTAAATTAGCAAAGATAGCCGGGGTACGAGAAGAATGGGTGGCATCCCGTACAAAACAAAAAGGTCAAAGCGAAGGCATTGCTTGGACCAACATTAAAGAACTTATTCAGAGTCATCCAGATACTAAAGTACGATTCGATCTATTTGCTCTGGGTATGTATGGTATGGTCATCTTCCCAAAAGTATTGGGATATGTTGAAGCTGCAGTGGTAGATTTGTTTGAACAGTTATCGAAAAAGATTAATCCTGTTTCTGCAATCCTAGCAGAAACCTTCAGATCGTTAAATGCTTGTAGAAAGCTAGGAGGTGGACGATTCTCAGGGTGTACCCAGTTGTTATATGTTTGGATCCGTAGTCATTTCTGGAGGATAGAAAAGGTTTCATACCGACGCTTTAATACGGATTATTCACCATTAAAAGAATTTCTGGAGCAGGAATGGCCGAAAGAAATTAAGAAAGATGTGTGGATTAATGCCTTTCGAAATTTGCAAAGCAATGACATTGTTTGGCGAGCCCCGTGGCAAATCAAAAGGGAATTCTTTTACAAATATGGAGATTACAACTAGATAATGCTGCTCGGATTATGGGGAGGAATTGGATATGCACCACTTCTGGTCATAAGACAGTATGAAGGTCGTCAATTTGTACCTGTCACTGCTGGATTACAGTCATCTGAGTTCGCATTCCACAGCAAAAATTATAAAAGAAATATCATGGAAGCCGTTACAGCTTGGAAAACAACTTTTTGTATCCGAGCTAAAGCAGCAAAAGAAATGCTAACTCCTGATTATGAGGAATGGAGATATGTCAGAAAAAATGAAAATATTCCTCTACCAGATCAAAATGAGGATATCTCTATGGAAGATCGCATTAAGGTGGTTCCATCAGAGATTGAAATCCTGAGAACTGAGTTTGAAGCAGAAAAAGAAGGCTGGTCGAAAGAATTAGAGCAAATGAGACAAGATAAAGCTATGTTGGGTGTTGACATTGACTTTCATTCATCACAATGTGCAATGTTGAGAAAAGATAAAGAAAAAGTTGATGATGAATTCAGAGCATTATAGAAAAATTACCAGGAATTATATAAATCCCGGAAAGCATCAGGATCAAGCCAGGCAACAATACAAATGACCAGAGAATTGAACATCGAGAAAAGACGAGTTGAAGATTTGAAAGGAAAGAATAGCCGTCTACTCAAAAGCCTTGAGAAAGGAAAGCAAAAAATGGAAGATTTTGAGGTTGATAGAAGAGAGCGAATTATAAAAAGTAAGGCTGAACACCGCGAGATCATGAATGAAATGCAAACAGAAAGGGATCGAGCCAAAGATTTAGAAGAGATGAAGAATGACGTCGTTGATAAATTTGAAGGTGAGAAAATATCATGTTCAAGGGATTTGAATCTGAAATGAACCAGCTGATTGCTGAACTTGAAGTCAGAGGCCAAAAGATGGAAGAATCCAA